GATGAGCAGGCGGGTGCAAAATGGGTCTACGCGAATGACGGGCACAGCTACGCTACCCCCGAAGATGAAGCCGCCGCTGCCATCCTGGAGCAGGACAACACCAGTGAGTTCCCTGATATCGGCGGCAATGACGACGACGACAGCGACAACTCGCCCCCGGGACCTGCGGGAGGAAGAAGCAGGGACCCCGCGCCGCCTTTTCCACCTGAGCCAGAGAGCGACGACGACGATGTGCAAGAGGTCGTCCCGCAGCATCGTCATGACAGCACCGTCACCAGGCTGCAGCTATTGGGCTTGCACACCGCCACCTCCACGGCTCAACGTGTCATCGAGACCAAGAACCCACGACAAGTGCTGACGGGACCGCACAGCAAGGAATGGCACGAAGCCATGGATGCAGGAACAAAGACATTGGAATCCCGCGATACCTGGGTGCTCGTCGATCGCGCAGCGATTGAAGGAAGGAGAATCCTTTTCAAGAAGTGGGTCTTCCGCGTGAGGACTGCCGCTGACAGGACGATCGAGCGTTTAAAAGTGCGCTGGGTGGTACGGGGCTACGACCAGAGGCATGGCATAGACTTCGACCAGACCTTCGCTCCGGTCAGTCGCCATACCTCCGTGAGAATCATGTTCGCCATCGCTGCAGCACGACACTTACCGCTCCGCCAGATCTACGTGAAGAACGTGTTTCTATACGCTTAGTGGATGCAGTAATATTCGTGGAGCAGCCGCATAATTATGGCAAAGGGGACCCACCAGTTTGTCAGCTGAAGAAGTCCCTTTACAGGATCAAGCAAGCACCACGGCTCTGGCAGCAGCACCTGCACAGACTCCTACTCGAGATAGGATTCACGCAGCTACCGCACGACCCAGGCATGTATCGCCTGCATTTTTGCGGCGATTACATCTTGCTCATAGTGTATGTCGACGATATGCTCTACATAGGAACGAGCAATACGCTGCTCGACCAGTTCGAGAAGAACCTGGCGATGCGCGTCGACATCACCACTAATCACGGCGTGAAGTAGTTACTGGGCCTTAACATCACTTACGCTCCAAAAGCCGTCCACCTCTCAGCTGCCAAGTACGCTGAAACACCTGAGAAACGGTTCAACATCTCCACTGCACCACTCTACACTCCTTATCGCATGCTCGGACCGAACCACAAATCCGACAGCAAAGCCTCATCCCTCGCAGGTTTTCACAATTACCAGCAGCAGTTGGGATGCCTGCTCCTTCCCCCAGTGACTTGCAGGCCAGATCTTTCGTACATCGCGAGCCACCTGAGTCACTACTCGCGCAAACCAACAGCCGAAAAACTCCTAGATCTTCAGAGCACCCAGCAATTCTTCACCTCCATGCCCAACATTGAGCTCTGTTACTCCACGGTCACAACTCCCTCCTTCAACCTCATCGGCTACGTGGACGCCGATCATGCTGCTGACCCCGATAATCGACGGTCCAAAACCGGGTTCCTGTTCCGCCTCGAGCTAACAAGACCCATCTCTTGGAACTCGCAGAAGCAAGAACTGGTTGCCCTGTCATCGACGAAAGCAGAATTCATCGCCGCGACAGCAACAGTTTTGCGAGTGACTCTACTATCGTCAGGAGCTTCTACAAGAGGTAAAAATACCAACTTCACTAACCTTTCGCCTGCACTATGACAACCAGAGCGCGATCAGAATCGCAAAAAAGCCAGGATTCGTGAACCACACCAAGCACATCGCGCTGCGGTACTTCTTCGACAAATACGAAGTTGACAAATGTAATATCTATCTGACCTATTGCTCAATGGGTGACATGGCAGCAAACTTCCTCACGAAGCAATTGCCCTGTCAGCAGTATCAGCACTGTTCCGAACTAAGCGGAGTGGTCAAGCGAGTCAAGACTTGCTACGGCAAGACTGATGGGGGGTGATACGTATATCTACGTCCCTAGCATTTTGTTGCTATTCCGCTAACTATTCTGTACTTCTATATCGAGCTGTGTCCATGATGTATGTAATAATTTGTGTGCTGTGTGCTTATGCGAAACTAATTCGTGGCCTCTTTGTAGTCCCGTTCGGTGTGTGTAGTGAAGTTGATGCACAGGCGCACACGCGGTTTGGAAATCTCGTCATTTTTGCAATTCCCGAACCAGCCAGTCTCATGGGGCTGGTGCGATATGGAAATTCGGTGGTGACCACCTCGAAAGTTTTCGTACTTCAAGAACCACGGAAACCTTGCAATGAACCACCAGTTCAATAGTCAAGCTTGCTCTGCGCATCTGCCCGTAATTGACCGCATCGCAAAATTTTCTCCCGCGAAGTCGCAAATCGCCCGTTCAGGGGAGAGGCCACCAAGGGTGGATCTTCTACATGCCCGTCCCCCCCATCATCCGCCTTCGTCGTACACACTCGCGCTGCATGCATCGCTTCGCTTCGTTGTCCTGTCCGCTCATTCTCCTCGTCCCATTTCTTCGCACGTTACCCCACCTCGTTTCGCTCATCCAGTTTTCCCTCGTCGCACCGCCTTGTGCATCATCTCGTCGTCAAATCCGACCCCTCTCGTCGTCATTTGCCTTCCCGTCCCTCGAAACCGTCACCGCTAGACGTAACGTTTTCGAGGCAGCGGAGAGCCAGAAGTGAGATCCACCAATCAACCACCACCACCAGTTTCTTGGGAAGCCAACTGGCGACCCTCGAAAATCCTCTTTGCTGTTTTCTTCGCATATTTCGCCCACTTCTCCGCCAGTCTCCTCTCCACCACCTCCAGTTCCCACCACAAGCCTCCTTCCTCTCGCCAAGTCCCACACACATCCTTCCACCCGCCCGCCACCCGCTCTGCTCTGCTCGGCTCTGCTCTGCTCGGCTCTGCTCTGCTCTGTCCTCGCCGCTTACAAGGCTGTCGGTTGATCACTGATCTGATCGCCTCCCCGCTTGCTGTGTGTTCCCGACGCTCTAGTGGCTGACGCCACCATTATTGACAGCTGATTGATTCGCAACAGCGTCTCCATCACTTTCTTACTGTTAGTTACTTGGTTCCCCGATCATTTCTGATAGCTCTTTTAGATTTAACGGATTAATCAGTCTGTCGCTTGATCGTTCCACCAGTCGACGAACGTTCGCGACGATTTTTAGTGTATACCGCTCAACTGGGCTGAACCTCTGCTGTCGCAGCCTCTCTTTTCGATTTTGTTCACTCTCAAAGAATTCAAGAAACAAAGGCCAGGGAAGCGGTCCTGATCCGTTATCACGCGGTCTTGATCCGTGAACTTGGTTTGACTAGCGAGCGACGCGATGCATCTCGTGGAGCGCCCGTACGCCGCGAGGCTGAATAGTTCAGGCGGTGTGGGAGCGGGTCCGCGCGACGCCGCGATTCACGGCGGATCGCCTCAGAGATTGCACTTCGAGTCGAATCCGGAGCTCTGCGATCTCGATGATCCCTCCTACTACATGTCGCTTGACCACCTACCCGACCGGCAGATTCTCGTGCAAACGTCCAGAATAGGGGTACGTTTTAAATCTCGTCACGGGTGCGTTACACAGCTCAACTACGAGAGTCAGAAGTTTCCCATGTGATATTCTGCAGAGGAGTCACGTTCTTCCACCGATTAACCTTCCGTCTTACGAGACTCACGCGCGAGTTTTCATTTCCGTCAATCGTGCAGGCAGGAGTACCTGTGGTGGAGAAAGTACGGTGGCTGGACCAACAGTTGTCGCACCTGCAGTGTCCGTACCCGATACAGCATATCGAGTTCACCTATTCCGGGGACGCAGGTACACTCCAACAAGTGCTGTTACCCGATCGCTAGCTTAAGAGGTTCAGTCCCTCCTTTTTTCCTCGCTACTATGAGCGGGCCTAACATTACCGACGCAATTTTCCTCTTCGTCTTCCTCGTCGTCGCAGTCGTTCAGTTTATCTCGGAGGCCGCTAAACTGAAGGCGCTGACGCGCTGCGGGTCGTTGCGGTGGAGGAGCGTAGAGATCGCCAGCTGGCCGTGCGCGGAGGAGGACGTTCGGGCGCTGTCGTGGGTCGGAATCACGGGCGCGCTTCCGGAGATCTTTCCGCTCGTGCGACAGGTGCGCTGCTTTCTTCGCTGTACTGGTTCTGTGCTGTGCTGGGTGCGCCACCTTTTAGTCACCTTTCAGTGATCCGATTTGATTGTGATACGGGTTCTCCTACACGTTCCCTTTTTTGTCTTCCACTTTACCTTCTCTTCCCCGCCTGACCCATCCCCACGCCCCCCATCCCCTCTCACAACCCTCCCCGTTCTTGTTGTCACAGGCGCTGCAGCAATACGGCGAAGTGAAAGGGGAGTGCCCCCCTCCGCCTAACAACCATCTTCTGTTGGCGCAACAGCAGAGGAGGTTTCCAATGCTCAAGTATTATTTCGTCCCTAACGGGAAGAAGAGGCTTCCGCCTTCCATCCAGATTGTCAGGCCAGACCGGTAAGTGCCTAAAAATTGTTTTTATGGTGATCGTTTTTGGTTGATAATTTCTTGTAACTGACACTTTCCCCTCCACCCTCAGGCCAAAGGCGTACCCGCCATGCACAGTCCGGCTTTTTACCCCATTTGGCCCTCTTTCTCCAACCTGTTCTGATTTTGGCAAGGCACACTCTGTGTATGGTTGCCCAACATGCTACTTCAATAGCACTCAAACCCAATTTGGTGCTTAGTTGGATCCTACCTACCGATAGGTTTTAACAATCTAATCGGACCAGCTTCTGGCTGGTCTTGAGGGAGGAGAGTCAAGGCGTGAAGCTAGTGACCAGTAGTTTGTGCATTGATGAATAGTAGCGATTGAAGTACTAATTCTAGTGTAGAGGTTTTCAAGGTTTTAATGTATAATGCTAAACATTACTAGAAACTGTTTACTAGGTTTTTATTTACTGTTTTACTGTTTTCAACTGCCATTAGCAAAGGGTGAGTAACTACAGGTGCGGAACAATCTCAACACAAGTCATAAACCTCTAAACCCATTGCAGCACTCATCCTATCTCACCCAACTTTGTCACGCTCAGTCAATCTTGACCGATGCATAGATCAGGCGCACGAACCAGTAGCATGCATAGAACCCAATGGTCCCTGTGAGAATGAAGAAGCTGTAGGAGATGATGACCATGTAGCCGAAGTAAAGGATAGCTGACACGAGCTTGGTGATCTCCAGCTTGGTGAAGAAGTAGAAGGTCGCATAGAGGAAGAGGTAAAGAGCCGATGAGCCCGAAGTCAGATACGCTCTCCACCACCAGCGATAGTCTTCACTGCACAGCTGGAAGTAGCAGAGCACAATGGTGATCTCTGCGCACGTGATGATGAGGATGACGAAGACGATGAAGAGGAAGCCGAAGATGTAGTAGAACTGCTGCAGCCACATGGAGGTGAGGATGAAGAAGAGCTCGATGAACACTGCACCAAAGGGCAGAATGCCTCCAATGAGGATGGAGAACACAGGGTGCATGTACCACGCCTGCTCGGGGATCTGTCGCGGGATCTTGTTTGTGCGGACTGGATCCTCAATAGCAGGCTTCTTGAAGCCAAAGTAGCTTCCCAGAAGGACTAGAGGCACAGAGATGCCGAACCAGAGGAAGAAGAGAGCGAACATGGTGCCGAAGGGAACAGCTCCAGATGACTTCTCCTTCCAGATCAGAATGTTAAGGATGAAGAAGATGACGAAGACAACAACCGGGTAGGTGACTGCAGTGCGGATGGTGTTCAGCTTCCAGTCAGTGCCCTTGAAGGCCTTGTAGAGGCGGGCGGACGAGTATCCAGCCAAGAGACCCATGAAGACCCAGAGCAGAAGCATGGCAGTCATAAGCCCACCACGGTTGGATGGGGAGAGGAATCCGAGAAGCGCGAACACCATCGTAACAAGTGTCATAAAGAACAGCTGCACACCGGTGCCGACATACACGCAGAGCAGGCCAGCATAGTTGGGTGGGCGGAACACATCACCATGGACCAGCTTCCACCCAGTCTCCTCCTGTGCCTCCTCCTGAGTCTCCAACTGATTGTACTGGGAGATGTCGCGGTGCAGAGTGCGCATCATGATCATGGCAACCATGCCCGAGAGGAAGAGCACGATCATGAGGGAGTTGATGATGGAGAACCAGTGGATCTGGTCGTCCGTCATGAGAAGGTACGTGTCCCAGCGAGATGCCCACTTCACGTTGCTCGGCTGCAAAGGGAAGGAAGAGGGGAGTTAGGGCACAAAAGCAAATGCACATGGATTAACAAGAACAAGAAAAACCAGTCTCTACAAAAACAAAAATATCCAGACTAGATTACACCAAAGGCATGCTTCTATACCAATGTTTTGCGAATAAAAAATGCGGGGACTGAATGCAACGTTGCTAAACCCGATCTCAGAGGATCTGAGAACTGTTGTTATGACTTCCCCTTTCTGTGCTACGTTGGTGCCAGATATTTCACATCTTCGCCCCTGTCAGCTTACAGTGGTTTAAGTGTCGGTTCAGGTTACTGAGCTTACTCGGTGTTCTATGAGTCCGCTCATGAAACACCATACTTCTAAACTTTCACTAACGTCCCCCTAGCGTGTTGCTCGAAGTGATCCAATAAAGCAATCGCACTGGCGTTACCTTCATAAACACCCCAAGAACTCGCAAGCTATCAATAATCTTCCCGACATCGAAACTCCTCTCTCAGCTATGTTCGTGTCAAATATTTCACATCTTCGTCCGTGTCAGCTTACAGTGTTTTACGTTTTGGTTCCGATTACCCAGCTTACTCGGTGTTCTACGTGTCCGCTTATGAAACACCACACTTCCAAACTGACACTAACGTCCCACTAGCATGTTACTTTCGAAGTGATCTAAAGAACAATTGCACTGGTGTTACCTTCATGTGCACCCCAAGACCTCGCAAGCAATCAGTAAATTTCCCGACATCGCACATTTGCGCACTCGGAATCTCACATACCTTGAACATCACATCGTAGGTGAAGATGACCTCCTCGTTCTCCTTGATCGGCTGGGGTGGCATGCCGCTATCCACATGCTGCGTAGGGTTTCCTGGGTTGCAGGTCGTGAGGATAGGCTTCGCCGGGTTGTAGGTACCCTCGTACTGGTGCTTCACACTGCACGCAATGGCCATGTTCAGGTTAGCGCGTATAGGTCGCAAGCCTATTGATCAGAACCATAACTGTTGGCACCTACCTGAAAGGTTCGACTTCGAAACCGACGACGCGAGCCAGATTGTTTGTGGGGTCTTTGTGGAACAGCACAGTGAACCGCAGGTGGTTGTGCAAGAAATACTCATCGGGCCCATTCTGCAAGCACATGGGAAACAGACTAGACGTTAACGTATGATCTACTGAGGATCCATATTTCAAACAAGACTGAGATGGCCATGTGATTTATGCCCCATACCGTTTCCGATGGAGCCTTGAATCCCACAGGAAATCCACGCTCATAAGTCTTGATGGACTCACCGCCTTCCTCCGCGCGCATCCTGACCATGGCCGCTGGCAGATTATCAAGGATCCTGCGATCAACAAACCGAGACATTAGAGCCGCTTCGTTGAAAGATACAAAGACAAGTCAATGAAACGATTCGTACATAAAAACGCGATATTCGTCATCGATCTTTTCCTGGAATTGAAGAGCCTCCTCAAGGGGAACTTTCGCCTTTCTGCAAACGATCTTGCACTGCTCGTCGATCCTCATTTGAAACTGCGAGCCAGAGAAGGTAAGTTTCGCACCGTAAGAAGCCAGCAACACAGCAAAATGTTGCTAAACATAGAAAAAGTATTCGTAATACAGACCTGATAGGGAGAGTTCTCAATTCTGTCACCACGCAGAATCTCACCCAGATTCTCCGCCACTGGCTTAATCCCCTCTTCCGGAAGGCAGAAGGGGAGTGAATAGTACTCATAGGGAAGTTGAGTTCTGGTCGAAACTAACTTGTTGACTTTGACAAAAAGTGGATCCTCCTGCTCAGACATGGCGCGGAAGTTAGTGCTAATCCATAAATGCTAAAAAAGCTCTCTTAGTCTACGGCGAAGATATTAACCTTCTTGAAGTCTTGAGGAGCCACGCCAGGGAGGTAAAAAGCAGAAGCGGCATTCACAAGCGCGAGCAGGCACACGAAGGCCACAAGACGAGCCATGGCCGCGGTAGCGAATCAGGACAGCCACCTATCTTAGAAAGACTTGAATTTAGATTCAACCTAGCTGAGATCTGTTCCACACCCTAAACACTTGGATGCAGGAAATCTGTTGCGTTGAGTTCAGGAAGGAAGCAAATCGGCATAGTCAAGGGCAGATGTGAGGGAGCGAGAGCGCTGGCCGAGGATCCGTGATTGGCGGAGGGTGGTGTTGCGGTGGGATGCGAAATGGCGGAAAGTTGGCGGGGAAGGGGGGTGTGAGAACGGGGGTTGGGACGGGGGTTGCGGGAAAGTTCGGGGGAAGGGTGCAAGAGTGGTGCGGTGAACCAATGGTGGAGAGTGGCGGATGGAGGAATGCCCGCCAAGGAAGTCTCCAAGAGTGGCTGCCAGCAAGTGGGAGGTGGCAGGTGAGACTGACACAACCGCCATAGGAACAATCTGGTCACAACATCGAGAACACATTTGTGCAAAATCAATAATACCTTGCATGTTGACATACATCAGTAACATGATTTGCCTAGAATCTCATTCCAAGGCTTCATATCCACCTTTGATATTCGCTACAGAATTTTCATGTACCGCTTTGACAAGCTATAATATATATAGTGTCATGCATTATAGCAATGCTAGTAAGGTTGATGTAAGGTTGACGCATGAAGAAGGCCCATCAAAATAACCTACACCATGCTTTTTTGTTTTCACTTGAGAGAAATGACTTGCTGCTCAATGCCCATTTGCCATGGTATCAGTGACCTTTTATATGGCAGGACTTACTTCGAAAGCACGAATAGGCCAACTTTGTTATTCTCCTTAACCTCATACAACTTGCACACTGTGCAGTGCTGGCATTATCTTCTTTGAACTGTGGGCATTTTTTTCTTCCTATTTTTTTTTGGCTTCTCTGATCCTACTCTGCTTTTCTGCGCCTTGTTAGATTCCCCTTACCACCCTTTTGATGCCTTGTCGACCCCGTATTCCTTCCACCACCAGCCGTTGCCTTTCCCTTACGCAACCCACCAGCCACACCACCACCGGCAGCAGCAGCACCATCAGCCGCACTCATATTCCGACCAGCGCCAGTAGCAAGAGCAGCAGCCACACCACCGCCAATGTCCTGTGATTCCTCTGTGAAGCTGGAGAGGCCAATGCTCTCACCCAGACGCACATGCGCCGTGGCCGCCCAACCACCACTCTCATCATCATCATCTTTCTCACTATCTGTGTCAGCATCACAATCAGCATGCACATCAAAATCAGCACCAGCTTCATCATCGTCAACAGTGCCATTGCTGCGACCCGCATTGACTGTGTGAAGCGAGTTCTCGAAAGATAAGCGCCTTTCTCTTTTCCCAATTGCCCTTTCTTCGTCAGCAACAGCTTCCTCTTCTTCTTCCTTCTCCTCCTTCCCCTCCTCCTGCCCCTCCTCCACCCCCTCGTCTTCTTCCTCCTCCTCCCCCTCTTCTTTCCCCTCCTCCCCTTCCTCCTTCTCCTCCACATCCTCCTGCTGCTTCACTGGTACCCTCAATCCCCTCTGCCTGCTGCGAACGTCGGCCAATGAGGCGACGACAGCTGGCTCAGTGTCGAATAGCACGTGGGGAAGCGGGGAGGCTCGCATACAGGAGGGGCGGGCGAGGAGGGCGATGAACCAGTCGGGGGAGACGACCGCGGGGGAGTTGTGGCGCGAGGAGGCCAGCAGGCGGCGGGCCACAGGGTCTCTTTCAGACGTCTCTGTGATGGGACGAGGGGTGGGACGAGGCAGGGGTGGGGATGAGAAGAACACAGTTACAGAGAAAGCAGATGCTGGGAGGTTCTGAAGGTAGGCACGGTGATGTTCGTGAGAAGAGAAGAGGGCAGCGGGGAGGCATGCATGCAGGAGGGGGCGGGCGAGGAGGGTGATGAACCAGTTGGGGGAGAGCAGTGCGGGGGGGTGGGGGGGGGGGGCGATGCGCGACGGGGGCGAGCAGGCGCCGGGCGAGAGCCGCCTCTACACAGGGATGTGAGGAGCAAGTCATGCCATTGCACGCACGTAAGCACACAGCCCACCACTGCACACGCGCACACGCGCCCACGCGCACATGCACATAGCCCCACCTGGTTTGAGCACAATGCACATCCGCACAAGTCGAAGTGCGGGGCGAGAGCCGCCGCCACACAGGGCTGTGAAGCCCAAGTCACACCAGTGCACATGCACCTAGGCACATAAGCACACCGGTGCGAGAGCCGCCGCCACACAGGGCTGTGAGGCTTGAGTCACAGCCGTACATATGCATGCACCTAAGCACCTAAGCACATACTCCGGTATAGAGGCGGCTGCAGGTGCTAGTGAGTCTGCTCTCTCTGAGGCCTTGCACACCTTCACGTTTGACTCAGGTGCTTCCCGCTGCTTCTTTCGTGACAGCACCACAGTCACACCACTCGCAGCACCGGTTGCAGAGGGCTGTCCCCTCAGGGGGCTCGGTGCTTGCACGTTCCTCCACTGTTCTCCCGTGTCCGGCGGTTCCGTCCGGCTCACTGTCAGTGTGTACGTGCTCCCGGACTGGCCGTCACCTGGCCACGTTCACCCGTCAGCCTGGGTCGAGTCTGTACACACTGATTACTGAGCCTTCTCAGGTAGCTGCGTCTGCGTCTGCGTCAGGTCAGCTTTCTACCCCCTCCTCGTGTCGCCACCCGTCGCACCAGACTCTCCTTTGGCACCACCGTCTTGGTCACCCCTCCCTGCCACGTCTCCGTGGCATGCACTCCCGTCTCCTTTGTCCCTGCCCTCCCGCGCTCGCCTGCTCCGCTCTGCCTTCCTTGCGTCGAGGGGCGGCAGCGCGCCGCTCTTCACTCCTTCTCGTTTCCCCCGACATAGGCTCCCCTACAGACTCTTTACATGGACGTGTGGGGCCCAGCCCGCGTCCGTGGACAGGGCCACTTTCTGCTGGTTGTTGACGACTACTCGCGTTACACCACGGTCTTCCCCTTGCGCAGCAAAGGGGAGGTCCCTAATGTTTTGATCCGTTGGATCCGCGCTGTCCATCTCCAGCTCCGCGAGCGGTTCGAGATTGACCTTCCTGTCCTGCGTCCGCACTCTGACAGACGTGGTGAGTTTGCCTTTGACCTCTTGCGGGACTTTTGTCGTGGGGAGGGCATTCGCCAGACGTTCACGCTTCCGGCCTCCCCGCAGCAATGGGGTTGCTGAGCGCCGCATTGGCTTAGTCATGGAGGTCGCTTGTACCTCCATGATCCATGCGGCTGCCCCCCTTTTTCTGTAGCCGTTTGCGGTTCGGTACGCTGCGCATCAGCTCAACCTCTGGCTTCGTGTCTCCTTGCCGGAGACCTCGCCGACACTGTGTTGGACGGGAGAGGTTGGTGATGCGTCGGTGTTCCGGGTCTGGGGATCTCGTGCCTTTGTCCGTGATACTTCCGCGGACAAGCTCTCCTCCCACGCCATTTCTTGTGTCTTCCTTGGCTTCCCCCCTGACGCGCCTAGCTGGCAGTTTTACCACCCCACCTCGCGCCGTGTCCTGCCCTCTCAGGACGTCACGTTTGACGAGTCGGTTCCCTTTTACCATCTCTTCCCCTACCGCACTGCCCCTCTCCCCCCCCCGCCGCTCTTCCTTGCACCAGGTCCTCCTCCGATAGACCCCCTCCCCCCTCAGGGTCCTGCTCCCTCAGGTATGTCCCAGGTAGACCCTGTTGAGCCTGTCGAGGTAGCTGTCGACTCTGGTGCTGCTAGAGGTGCTGCGACTAGGGGTGCTGAGCCTGAGGGTGCAGGGCCTAGGGGTGCTGAGCCTGAGCGTGCGGAGCCTAGAGGTTCTGAGCCTGGGGTTGCAGAGTCTGAGGGTGCGGAGCCTGGGGGTGCTGAGCCTGAGCGGGTGGAGCCTGGGGGTGCTGAGCCTGAGCGTTCTGAGCCTGGAGGTACTTTGTCTGCTGGTAGTCCCCCGGGTGCCTCGTCACGGCGGGAGCCTCTCTCCCCACGGCAGGTGCGTGAGTGGTTTGCTCGGCGTTGGAGCCTTCGGAGTGGCGCTGCTGGAGCTGGGAGGCCTGCCACTGGAGACCCTGGAGCTGGAGGCGCTGGAGCTGGAGGTACCGGAGGTGCTGGAGCTTCTAGTCCCGTAGGTGCTCGTACAGGAGGTACTGGCTGCTGGAGCTAGTGGCACTGCAGGCGCTGGAGCTGGAGGTGCTGGAGCCGCTGGTCCCGGAGGTGCTCGTACTGAAGGTGCTGGAGGTGCTGGAGCCGCTGGTCCTGGAGGTGCTGGAGCTGCTGGAGCTGCGGGAGCGGGAGCTGGAGACCCTGGAGCTGGAGGCGCTGGCCCTGGGGTTGCTGGTGCTGTTGGTCCTGGTTCTGGAGGCACTGTGCGGCCCCGACCGTACTTCGTTCCACTGCTTCAGCAGGTTCTTTGTCTCTCGTCCTCTACTGGCCTTACTCCTCCCTTACTGTGTCCACCCCCTGACCAGTCGCAGCCGCAAATACAGCCAGCCTCCCCACTGCTTGCTCCTGCTCCTTACACTGAGCAGACTGGAGGTCTTACTGAGCGTTGTGAGCCTGCGTCTCGCCCTGCCTCGCCTGTTCGCGCTGGTCGAGCTGGTAGTCGTGTTCCGCGTCCGCGTCCTCCTCCTGTCCCTGGCACGCACCATATGGCACTTCGTCCTTCCTTTGTTCCACTGCGAGTTCCCTGCCGTCTCCTCCTGCGCCCTCTCTTGCTGACGGACCAGACCCTGAGTCTGACTTACTTCGTGCTGCTAGTCCAACTGTCACACGTCTTCTGGCCACTATTGTTACTGGCCCTTCGTATGAGTCCACTGCTGCATCTGCCTTAGTTGCTGAGGTTGTTGACTTTGCTGCCGCCTGTCGTCTCGACTACGCCGCTAGTCTTGTTGCTGAGTCTGAGTCTGTCTGTCCTCCGTCCGTCGGGGTACTGCTGTACGTCGCTGCTCAGCGTAACCACGAGCTTGACTCTCTTAACTTCAGCACAATTTTCTTACAGGGCAGCCTATACGAAGAGATCTGGCTGTGTCGCCCACCTGGCTTCACTGGGTCGTTTCCTGAAGGTACCCAGTGGAGCCTCCGGCGGCCACTCTACGGTCTTCGCCAGGCGCCTCTACAGTGGAGCCTCCGGCGGCCACTCTTCACTGGGTCGTTTCCTGCAGGTACCCAGTGGAGTCTCCGCCAGGCGCCTCGCGAGTCGCACGACACACTGAGGACGACACTTGCGGCTCTTGGGTTTGCTCCTTCGACTGCTGACCTGTCGCTGTTTCTACGCACCGACACTTCGCTGCCGCCGTTCTACATCCTCGTGTATGTCGACGGCTTGGTCTTTGCCATTGCTGACACTGAGGGATTGGCCCTAGTGAAGTAGGAGCTGCAGAAGAGACACACGTGCACAGTCCTGGGTGAGCTGCGCAGCAATCTTGGCTTGCAGATCACCTGGGACAAAGCATGGCGCACCATTACCTTTACTCAGTCACACATAGGTCCTTCAGCGCTTCGACTTCCAGTACTCCTCGCCACAGTCCACTCCTCTGCCCACCGGTCACTCGCACTCAGATCCACCTTCGGACGAGTGCGTAGAGCCGAGTGGCCCGTATCCAGAGCTTGTGGGCTGCCTCATGTACCTGATGACCTGCACTCGACCTGACCTAGCCTACCCTCTTAGCATCCTGGCACGCTATGTTGCGCCCGGGAGACACCGACCAGAGCACTGGAAGGTCGCTAAGAGGGTGTTGTGCTACTTGTGCAGTACGTCGGGCATGGGGCTCGTGCTTGGAGGACAGGGTCCAGTTGTCCTCACTGGACACACAGACGCTTCTTGGGTTGATGACTTGGCTATGCAGTGGTCGTCACAGGGTTACACTTTCAGCCTTGGCTCCGGCTCCGTTTCGTGGCGGTCTACCCGCTCGTCTTCTGTTCTCAGTTCCGGTTGTGAGGCTGGGATCTACGCAGGGGCCATGGCTGCACAGGAGTTACGCTGGCTCACCTACCTGCTGACCGACTTGGAAGAGCCGCCTCGTTCTCCTCCAGTTCTGTACGTCGACAACAAGGCCATGATTGCCTTGCGTCAGGAGCACAGACTGGAGCACAGAACGAAGCACATCGCTCTGTGTTACTTCCTTGCTCGAGAGTTGCAGCAGCGTGGTCAGCTTCATCTTGCTTACGTGGCCTCTCGAGCCAACACTGCTGATATCTTCACCAAGGCACTTCAGCCTTGTGATCATCAGCGTTTCCGTACTGGTTTAGGCCTTGTACCTACTTGGCCTCACTTGCTCGTGTTCAATTACAATTCTCTTTTCTGAGCTCGATCTTAGATCCTCACACTTGGTAATCAGAGCCGTTTACACGCGAAGTTTTTGTCAGAATGTTATATTTCTCTAGTCTGCAGTGGGGTACTCTATAGTGAGTACCGCCCTGTTAGGGTTTGCTATATGTACTCAACTGCCTGCTAGTGAAACCCCTTTTTGCCTATTCTGTCTTGCCTAGCTAGCTAAACCCTAGCTATGGCTCCTGCATTCTAGCTACTGCTTGTGACATGCTATCAGAGCGGTTACGCTCCTGGCCTGTGGGCCCACCTGCTTCCGCTGCCATACAGTCTGTCGCGCGCCCCGTGGCGCGCGATGTTCAAATTTTCTTCCCGCCACGCGCTCGGGGCGCGTGGCGATTTTCTGCCCGCCACGCGCTCGGGACGCGTGGCGGTTTCCTGCCCGCCGCGTGCCCCGGGCGCGCACGGCGGTTTCGTCGCCCGACGCGGCGCCCCGGGGCCCGCGCGCTGTCCCCTCCCGTCGCCCGCCGCGGCGTCCCGGTGGGCCTGCGCGTCGCCCCCCCCCTCCCGTCGCCCGTCGAAGCGCCCCAGGGGCCTGCGCGCAGCCCTGCCCGTCGCCCGCCGTGGCGCCCAGGGGGCCCGCGCGTCGCCCCCCCACTTCCCGTCGCCCGTCGAAGCGCCCCGGGGGCCGGCGCGCCCCCCTGCCCGTCGCCCGCCGCGGCGGCTTGGGGGCCCGCGCGTCGCCCCCCTCCCGTCGCCCGTCCTGGCGCCCTGGGGGCCCGCGCGTCGCCCCCTCCCGTCGTCCGTCGTGGCGCCCTGGGGGCCCGAGCGCCGCCCTCTTCGTCGCCCGTTGCAGCGCCCCAGAGACCCGCGCCCCACCCTGCTTTCCGGTCGCACGCCGCCCCTGCTGCCACCCGCCCCGCCCTGCCTGCGTTTGGATCTTGGGGT